TGACCTAGATGTCCCACACCTTTGCTGTGTTTCTCATGCAACTGTGTAATCTCATTGCCTTGGTTTTCTTGTGTAAAATAGTTTTTTCCAGCCTCACTCAAGACACCATGAAAACACAGTGACTATGAAAGCTTTCTGAAGGAAAATCTGTCAGCTAAAAATATCTTTATTAGTCTCTAGTACTGTGTGTCTTTGAAATATTCTTAAAGTTTTGCCCTGTAACTTTCCCAATACAGTCATTAAAAATGCACATATGCTGTCGCAGCGAGGTTCAGATTTAAAAGGCGATGCAACTGTCATCGTCATCACTGTTGGTGTATTGTGTTGATGTTATTTAGATATTGTCAACCCCTAATAATATTCTAAAGGAACATTTATGTTCACTCCTTCACTATCCCTAAGTCAAATATTTTTGATTGGGTTAAAAATATAATCTTCTCCTGTTTTATTTTACCACAAAAAGAAAAAGTTAATGACGTTGGCATCTTAGGGTTAAAGCATATTATAAATCCTAATACAAGGACAGAAATATTTATGTGAATGCAGATGTCGGTATATTAATTAAGAAATGACTCACAACCATCAAGTTTATAATTGATGAATTAATATATATATATATATTCAATTGAATATATGTATATCCTCTAAAATATTACCATGAATATCCGAGGACACACACAATTTTCATCACTCAACCACCTCCTCAGCAGCTAACTTGAGAATAGCATGTTTGCTTTATCCACAAAACCTAAACCCTCAGTTGATAAAGGAATGAAAAGTAAAACATGTTCTGAGGGAGATAAACCTGTTTCTTTATCTCATCCTTTAGAGGCTTAGAAAATATTTCTGTGGGAAGAAAGGGTTGTGGGAATTTGGTTGCACGTAGCAGAGGATGATTTATGAAAGTTCAATTACAGAGTGACCCCCATCTGTGGTATTTGCCAAGAACCACATGTGAGTGTCTTTGGTAAAGCAGAACAAAAACACTCCTGAATGCATATTGAGCTTCAAAACAAAAAGCAATATAACAGGCGGCTGCCGGGTACAAGTCTCCTGAAAGGGTAGTATAATTTAAAATATCTGAACAGTATTTTAAATACAACATACAAGGTCATTCCAATGAGAAAGTAACACAGGCATTGACAAAGAATGACAGGGAGACCCAGAAAGTGCTCGAAATTGCATTGCACATGAAATTTCACGCAGGGGCTTAAAGAAAATTAAGTGTCAGAAGAAAGGGTATAATTCATCTCCCATTCTAATTTTATTGTCATAACAGCAGGCATGCTGCCACTCAAAGCCTCAGGACCTGCTATGGCCTTTGCGTTGTTTATACCCGCAGGAGATGGTGTGTTGTCAGAAGTAACATTTTGCAAGTCTTAAACAAAGTTTCAGTCAAAGGGGAAAAAATGGACGGTTTACTGATCGGCAGGTGAGGAAGGGCAGGCACAAGAGAAAAGCAAGTGCCGAGAGAAGCAAGTGCTGAGATTTGCACTGAGAAATGATCATTTAATATAGCCCGTCTTCTACCCGAACCTGTCCTGAGCCACACAGCAAATAGCTTGAGTTTTTGAGCACCTGGCCTTGAATCAAGATGCTAGATTTCAGTTCTACAACGTGGACAAATCATTTCCTCCACAGCTCCACTTACTGTTTGTCAAATGGAGGGAAGGTACAGGTTCTTCCACTTTGGGTTGTAACCAGGAGATGCTTGAATAAACTTAACACAAGAAGCAACGTAGACTGCAGAGCACTTAACTATATTATTACTAAAGCAAATTCAAAAGACACACTTGGCATGTCCCGGAAGCTCATATAATAAGCTACATCATTCCTTGACCATCATCCACTTTGTCCATCCTGCTTCAGCCCCATTAAGAAGTAGTTTTCAAAAAGTAGGGCATTATAAGCATGTAATTACCTATATCAGTTATATGCTATAATAACACAATATTTTGCTTAGCATTTGCCATGTCTTACCAATCACAGTTTTAAGCACTTTACACATATTACTCCTTAATCTGTACAGTAATCCCATAGTTAGTACTGTTTTTATCCCCTTTTTATATTTAGGCAAACTAACGGTGGATAAATAAATTGCCCTAGATGTACTGGCTTCCTCTTGCTGTGTAATAAAACACCACAAATTTAACAGCTTAAAACAATACACAGTTATTCACTTACAGTTTCTGTTGAAGAGTCCAGGCACGTCCTAACGGTCCTTCACTCAGCATCTTATAAGGCTGCAGTCAAGGTGTTAGCTGGGCTGCATTCTCATTGTGAGGCACAGCTGGGGAAGAATCTGCAGCCAAGGTCATCCAGGTGGTTGGTAGAGATCATCCTTTGCATCTGTATGCTGGAGGGTCTCCCTTTCATCTGGCTTTTGGCTGGAGGCCACCCTTGGGTCCTCGCTGCCACCTGCAGTTCCTGGCCACATGGCTTCTCCATGGCCACTTACGTCATCCAGCCCACAGGGAGAGTCTCTCACACCAGGGAAGGTTCTCCTCCTGTAAGAGAGGCAGGCTCACTCAGAGTACTCTCCTTTTTAACTCTGAATCAACTCATTTGAGATGTTAATTATATCTACAAAATCTCTTCACCATCACCAAGTCCCATCCACACACAAGGGGAGGGGATTACACAAAGGCTGGGACAACAGGAGGTGGGATTACTGGGGGCCACCCAGGGTCTGTCTGCCGGGGCTTCTGCAACTTCAGTGTACGTCACCTGGCGATCTTGTTAAATACAGATTCTGATTCAGTAAGTCCGGGAGAGGCCCTGAGAGTCTGCATTTCCAACAAGCTCCCAGGGGATGCTGATGCTATGGGCCAGTCTGGGGACCACCAAGACCCCATAAAGCTGGGGGTAGAAACCAGCAGATTGAGCTCCTGGCCCCATGCTCTTAGCCACGTCACCACACCTGTGAAATCTTCCAGGACTGCATGTAAAGTTGTTGTCAACAACAGGTCTGCTTTTATTTTGGTTCCACATTTATCCTTGGAACCCTGAGCTATTCAATGTAGTTAGCATCCGATGACCTCTTTTCGCATCTATGTGGTTTACAGGAAAAAGCTTTACTACAGGCAGGCTGACCTTCGAATGAAAGCTTCAGACACCTTCTGGCTGGCCCCCCGTGTCCTCCATCCCCTTCCTCAGGCAGGTGACAGTCTGCCCTGGCTAAGGGTGACCCCTGGGAGGGACTTAGGTCTGGTCCAGCTTCCCTGTTTTGCCTGCTGAGGGGTGTTGGCCGAGTGTTACCCTAGGTTCTCAACCATCACCTCCCCTCTCTAAATGAGACAAGTTTTTCCTTTACTTGTCTTATAAATTGGGCCTCCAAGGATATTTTTATTTGACCAAAGTGTGTTTTACCAGAGAAATCTTTTCCTTTTAAAGAAAAAGATAGATAGTACAGGTTTCGGACACTCCTCAGTGTTTTAAGGGAATAAATATTTACTCTGAAGAAAAGACTTACAAGGCTTTAAAACATCTCACTTAAAAAACTACAAATAACTCTGCCTGGACTTCAGTGGGGGCGGGATCATTCTCACCAAAAGAGTAAAGAAACGTTATATTAAAATGTCTTTTTTGGTAATCTTTCCAGACAGGAAGCTGTTATCTGTCTTCTTTTTAAGACACGCCTTAGACCCTTACAACTTAAATTTAGCTCTCAGGCAGCCTCTCCTCCTCCCTGTGTGGTACAAGTGGTGTTAAATGACAGAGAGATGTTAAACAAGATACCTCCCCACCCAGCTGCCTTTGCCTCTTTGAGTAAGCTCCCATCTCTATTTGAAAAAAACGAAAGAAATCTGCAGATAAGCCTGTCAGTGTGCTCTGAAATTAACATAACTCAGACCTCCGGCCAGTGACCTAAAACTTAAAATAGCGAATTTCCAGTTGTCGGCCAGCTAGCTGCAAGGCTTTCAAAGCAAAGCCCTTGTTCTGAGATTGGAGCAAGTCTCCAGTGCTTGCCCAGCTCTGGGAAGACTAAGGCAGGTGGAGATAAAAGGAGAGAGAAATACCTCCTTGACAAGCTGATGTCCGTCCGTTCCCTGCTGTCACGCACGCTAAACACAGTGAAATCGGTTCTTCCCGTGTTCACTGAGCTGTGCTAATCACCTTCCATTCCATGCCCCACTTACTCTTCATAACAATCCTGTCCAATGCATATTCACACTTCCCATTTGGACAGAGAACGCAGGCAGAAGGAAGTTAGATGACACACCCAAAGGTCACACAGCTAGCTGGTAAACAAAGCTGACTTTGATCCACAGTCAGCCTATACAATACAGAGAAGACTAAAAGCACAGTAGGATGCCAATACAGGACGAAAACACTGCAAGACGGTAGTGGGTTGAATGGCGGCCCCCCAGAATACGTGTCCACATCCTAACCCCTGGAATCTGTGAATTTGACATTATTTGGGAAAGGGGTCTTCGCAGATGTAATTAATTTGAGGAACGTGAGATGCACTCATCCTGGATTATCCAGGTGGGCCCTATATCCCATGACAAGGCAGGCAGAGGGCAATCTGACATAGAAAGAGGAGGAAAAGACACAGACACAGAGGAAAGGACAGAGGCAGAGAGTAGAGTGGTGCTGTCACAAGCCAGGGAAGCCTGGAGCCCCCAGGAGCTGGCAGCGCCCCCCAGGAGGCAAGGAAGGATTCTCCCCTGCAGCCTTCAGAGGGAGGATAACCAGGCTGACATCCTGATTTCTGACTTCTGGACACCAGAACTGTCAGAGAATAAACTTCCGATTTAAACCACGTTAGCAGCAATTTGTTACAACGGTCCTAGCAAAATAACACAGACTCAGACAAAACAAATCGTGAAGTTAATAACTTTGTGGAGGCCCCTGGAATTATCACGTGTGCCTGAACCTCTGAACACACACCTGCCCTGAGACACCACCTGGTTTATCTCC